GGTGGAAGAAGGTAAGTGAAGGTTGGCTATGGTGGATGGGTGTAGGTGATGGAGGTGGGAGAAGGTAGGTGAAGGTTGGCTATGGTGGATGGGTGTAGGTGACGGAGGTGGGAGAAGGTAGGTGAAGGTTGGCTATGGTGGATGGGTGCGGGTGGTGAAGGTGGAAGAAGGTAAGTGAAGGTTGGCTATGGTGGATGGGTATAGGTGATGGAGGTGGGAGAAGGTAGGTGAAGGTTGACTATGGTGGACGGGTGTAGGTGATGGAGGTGGGGGAAGGTAGGTGTAGGTTGGCTATGGTGGATGGGCGCGGGTGGTGAAGGTGGAAGAAGGTAAGTGAAAGTTGGCTATGGTGGATGGATGTAGGTGACGGTGACGGGGTGCAAAGTGACCCTTGGCCTCGCGCTGCCCCCTACCCCGAGCGGCTGGGCTCATTGCCCGCCGTACCCCTTAGTCCCGGAGGCAAAAACAGTTCCCACAGTGCTCAGTCCACAGTCCATATGCAGAAAACACATAGTAGTAGCAGAAACAGTTGGCTGGGAACCTGCAGAATCTGCAGATTCCGCTGTTTGCAGTAACTTACCGCTTTTGCTGTTTCTTTGCCCAGGGTGAAATTTCGGGATGTACCGTCCTATGTTTCCCGCCCCAAAAGTTATCAGACTGCCACTAAATTTGGTGGGCCCCCTCACTGTACTCCACGGAAGGTCCCCACCAAATTTCGTGTCATTCTGACACCGTTTGGCCCAGGTTGCCTGTTTCGGGCGTCCGCCGGTTCTGGGCGAACTGTTCAAAGGAAGTCCGTTTTCTGATTTTTTCAAAAAACGGAGTGTGATGGCCTGCTGGGTCTGCAGGCCATTTGTTCTTGCCCAGAATATTAGGTCTGAGCATTCTCAGACCTCATTCCCAAGTTTTCTATAGTGCTGCTGCCGAGGAGCCGCCGGCCGAGTTCCGCCCGATTGCGGTTTCCGCATGACCCTTGCAACGACGGTGGTTACCCCGTCCTTCCCCCGGCTCAGCAGTCTATGCTGGCCAGGCTCCGTCCAGGACTGCAGTCCTACAATTACCAGCAAAGGAAAAGTACATCAGACCCTCAAACTACCGAAAAACAGCAGCCTATCGGACCCCCTACTTTCCGCGTTCGAGTAGAACACGGGGGGGCGATTTCGAGCAGTATCCACTTAGAGCAAGGAGGGGAAAACCGCAGGTCACTTAGGAATGGAAAATGGAACAGTGCCAGCATCCTACACCAGCCAACGCACTAGACTGTATCAAGATCAAAGGCCCCTATCTA